CTGGTGGAAGGCCACACATCCAAGAATATATGGGCAGTGCAAATTGGACTTGATGGGTGAAAGAAAGAAAGAAAGAAAAGAAAGAAAGAAAGAAAGAAAGAAAGAAGGAAGGAAGGAAGGAAGGAAGGAAGGAAGGAAGGAAGGAAGGAAGGAAGGAAGAGAAAGAAAGAAAGACACAAAGTTAAGTCAGTGGGTAGAGAACACATTGTATGAAATTCTTGGAGAACTAGTAAAAAAAAAAAAAGTGGTGTAAAAAGCAAAATACAGGGCCTGGAGAAATGGCTCAGAGGTTAAGAGCACTGGCTGCTCTTCCAGAGGTCCTGAGTTCATTCCCAGCAACCACATGGTGGCTCACAACTATCTGTGATGAGATGTGGTGCCCTCTTCTGGCCTCCAGGTATACATGCAGGCAGAACACTGTATACATAATAAATAAAGAAATCTTAAAACAACAACAACAACAACAAAAAAGCAAAATATAAAGACTACTTTTTGGCCTTTAGATAATACTCATCTATTCCCCTTGTATTTTTAGTCTTATTTCCTTCTGAGGTTGTAAGGCCCTTGGGAAGCAAGCTACCATCTTAGAGGTTTTTATTTTATTTACACACTAAGAGGAACTGGCTGCAAGTTGGACTTAATTGATAACACAGATGTGTGGCCTAATATTTACCTTTTTAAAATTCTTATTTCAGCTACATAAATATATTATTTGAACTAGATCATGAGGAGAATACTGCTACTGCTTATAAAAATAAACTATTTTTAAGTTATGTGTTCATCTTTTACTTGCCTCCATTCATTTTTGCTTTTTTTTTTCAGAACTGAGGACCGAACCTAGGTCCTTGCGCTTGCTAGGCAAGTGCTCTACCACTGAGCTAAATCCCCACCCCCTCATTTTTGCTTTTTATAAACTATTGTCTAACTACAAGAGCAGGCTCTTAGTAGTTGTGGTGAAACATCCCTAATAATTGCAGCACTTAGGAGTAGAAGGAGGAAGCTGGGTATTTAAGAATAGCTTGGGCTATAAGAGACCCTGTCTCAGACAGCAACATGGAGAGAAAAGAGCGGGCTTTAATAAAAAAAAATAGTATTTCTTTGTATATGAGTATTTTGCCTGCATGTATGTCTGTGCACCATGTGATGCCTGGTGCCCAGGAAGACCAGAAGAGGGCATCAGATTTCCCTGAAACTGGAGCTGTAGATAGTTGTAAGCCATCATGTGAGTGCTGGGAATTGAACCCTGGTCCTTTGGTAGAACAGCCAGTGCTCTTAACTGCTGAGCCACCTCTCCAGCCTTCTGTTGTGTTTTTTTTTTTTTAATTTTATTTTATTTAAAGACCTCTACTAGGAAGTTTGCCATCAGCAGGACTTGAGCTGGCAGATGATGAAACAGTTCTTCATTTGTTTTTAAGTGCCATAGAATTCTAGCTTTTTTATAAGACACGATTGCCTTACAGTTCCTTCTCCTTCCTCTCTTCCCCGCTCACCCCCTTCATTAGACTAAACAGGAGGCATTTGACTTGGCATGATATTCTTCACCACAAATCTGTATAGTTTATCTCTATGCTGAGGGAAGACAGAGACTAGGATTATATACAACCTGCTTTATGAAGTTAAATAAGAGGAGTGTGATTGTAGGTGCCCAAAGCTTGTTTCTCTATTCTTTCCCAAAAGCACAAGATACAATTCATATTTTAAGTGGCAGAATTGCTTTATCCTGCCATTTTAAAAGACAGCCCTGATTGATCAACCAGTGAAGGAAGACATATTTTGTATTATTTCAGCTTTTACTGGCTTAGATGTCTCCGAGCCTACATTTCAATATCTGTGGTTTACTCATTAGCATTTAAATGGAAAAGTTGTCTAGGTGGGTTCTGGTAATTCTATTTGGTCTTGACAAATATGTGGTGCTGTTTTTAAAGAGAGAGAGAGAGAGAGAGAGAGGAGAGAGAGAGAGAGAGAGAGAGAGAGAGAGAGAGAGAGTGTCATATGTCCCAGAAATTACTTGCAGAGGTCTCTATGGGTTCTTCTTCCAGCTGTCCCTGGAGCTCTGAGAAATCCTGTCACCTAGAGACAGGCAGGTCTTCATGTGTGGTCTTCCCTCTTTAGCTTCCCTAGTAGCTGGGATTACAGGCTTGCATCAGGGGACTATTTCTCTCTCTCTCTCTCTCTCTCTCTCTCTCTCTCTCTCTCTCTCTCTCTCTGCCCCTCTCTCTCCCTCCCTCCCTCCCCCTCTCCCTCTTCCCCTCTTTCTCACCTTCTCCTTTCCTCTCCCTCCCCCTCTCTCTCCCCCCTCCTTCCCTGCCTTCCCCTCTCCTGCTCTTCCTTTTGGTTTTGTTGTGAGACAGGGTCCTACTATGTAGCCCTGGCTGGCTCTGGACTTGTGGTAGTTCACCTCTGCCCCACTGAATGTGTCAGAGAGCAGGTGTGCTGTTCCCCCCCCACCCCCCCATACCCTCTGCTGGTTCTCCTTTGTTTCCCTCTGTCCTTCAGTAGAGGTCAGTGAGATAGCCATATCTGAGAACAGCCTGGGAGTATTTCCTCTCTTAGAGCCCAGGTTGGGAAATAAAGCAGGTTGAGGGGCTGAGAGCAGTGGAACCCATCAAGAAGGGGAGGAGTTAGTCTTCATGCTGACATGAGCAGCTTCAGAGTGCTATGTGCCAGATAGTAACCACTACCTGAGCAGATTTATTCCACCCTAGTCTTGTGAAGTAGAGGCTGCTGCTTTTACATTCATTTCGCAGATGTGGGCCAGCCTGGAAAAGCTAAGTGTCTTTGTCCTGCTGTAACAGTGCTGTGACCTGGGTGATCTGTAAGTGATGGTGCTTTGCTCACACCTATGGAGAATGTTAAGATCAAAGGACTATCTGTCAGTGTCTGGTGGGGTCTCTCTTCATAGAGACACCGTTTGCTATGCCATCATACAGTAGAAGAGACTCACAGCTCTCTGCCCTCTTTGTGAAGGGCACTAAGCCCATACTCACACTCAAGCCTTAATCTCAAAGCCTTTTTTCCTCCCATTACTGCTACAAGGGAGATGAAGTTTGAACTCATGACCTGGGGAGACACATTGCAACTTCATTTCAAGTGATGGAGATGGATGGGAAGAGCTTAGAGATTTCCACAGACAGTCCTCCCTCTTGGTCATTTGGACTCAGGGAAGGGAGTCACAGTCTGATGCAAAATACTGGCCATTGCCTCAGTGGGTGAGGGGTGTGCAAAATTGTGACACTCTAGAACAGTGGTTCTCAACTTGTGGGTTGTGACCCCTATGGCAGCCCTCTGTCTCCAAAAAACATTTACATAATGATTCACAACTGTAGCAAAATTATAGTTATGAAGTAGCAATGAAAATAATCTTATGGTTGGGGTCACCACAACATGAGGATGTGGAGATATTGTGTTCCCTAAAATATTGTGCACCCTAACAAATTTATCTGGGGTCAGAGAACAGAACAGCCACAATATTAAACATAGAGGATAGGCAGTGGTAGCACACGCCCTTAATCCTAGCATTCCAGAGGCAGAAATCCCTCTGGATCTCTGTGAGTTCAAGGCCACACTGGAAACAGCCAGGCATGGTGACTCACGCCTTTAATCCCAAGAAGTGAGCCTTTAATCCCAGGGAGTGATGGCAGAAAGCAGAAAGGTATATAAGGCGTGAAGACCAGAAACTAGAAGCTTTTAGCTGGTTAAGCATTCAGGCTTTCGAGAAGCAGTTCAGCTGAGATCCATCTGGGTAGGACTCAGAGGCTTCCAGTCTGAGGAAACAGGATCACCTGAGGAACTGTCGCGGTGAGGTAGCTGTGGTTTGTTCTGCTTCTCTGATCTTCCAGCATTCACCCCAATACCTGGCTTCAGGTTTGATTTTATTAAGAAGACTCTTTAAGATTCCTGCTACATGAGGAACTGTGTTAAAGGGTCTTAGCTTTAGGAAGATTCAGAACCACTGCTCTAGAATCTTTTGAGTGGAAAAGCATCAGAGACATTATGGGACTCCTCCCTTTCCCTGAAGTAGCTAATATCTGAGGTCTTCCAACCTTTTGGAATGTGCCAAAGAACTTGAAGAAATTTCTCATCAAGTGGTCCTATTCCATCTCTGAAAAGCTTGATGTGATAGATGCGGCTTTCTTGGGTTGGCCTGATTATGGTCTCTGCCACTTTTGTCAGCCCCTAGTCCCTCTAAGCCTGTGGATCCTCTGCCTCACAGGAGTTAGGAGTTGTCCTTGGAAGCTGCCTTTCTCCTACTGAGAAGCCAAAGAAGGCTGTTTCACAGTTCTGCAGCTTCTGACTTTGTGGAGGGTAAAACCAGAGTCCATGTTGGAGGAGACCTTTGGAAGCCCAGGGTGCTTTTCTTCCAGTGAAGCTCTCTAGTGACTGCCGTACCAGTGACCCACTCACAGACCCACCGAACAGCTCATCTCACCACCTACAAGATGGGAGGTTGGAGGCTCATCCTTGCTACTCAGTGTGTGCACATTTATTCCTAGACAAGTGTGGAGCTGGAACCGGCAAGCTTGCTTTACAGGGAGCACAAAGGGATTCAGAGCGTAGGGCCCACTACTCTTTCAAACACATATGCAAGTAGCTATAGACATTAAAGAAGCCTGATGAGCTCTCTTACTGCTTTTTTTCAGAAGTGTATTCCTCACGTTGTCTGTGGATGTGTGTGTGGGGGGGTGTGGGTGTGGGGGGGTGTTCTATCTGTGGTGTGTCTCCCAGGAAAAATGGAGAAAATTCTGTGGAGCTTTCAGTTCTGTTGGGAATGAGTAGAATGACAAGTCATCCTAAGCATGTGTGTATATTCTTTCCCAGGGTCCCCAGCCATCTAGTGAGGCAAGTCATGGGAACTCTTTTCTTTCTGTTTTCTGATGGTGTTGGATTTCTCCACTGAAATGATAAATGGGGAATCAGTGCATCTTTATTACAGCTTGCTGTGTGTGTGTGCTTCTTCCTTCTTCCTCCAAGTTTAACATTGTCTATCCATCTTCCCACAGAGCACCCAGTAGACATGATGAACATCAAGGCCTTCACCTTGGTTTCTGCAGTGGAGCGGGAGCTGCTGACGGGTGACAAAGAGCACATCAGCATTGAGTGTGTGGAGTGCTGTGGCAGGAATCTCTATGTCGGCACCAATGACTGCTTCATTTACCACTTCCTGCTGGAGGAGAAGGCCATGCCTACAGGGACAGCCTCCTTCATTGCCACCAAACAGCTGCACAGACACTTGGGCTTCAAGAAGCCTGTGAACGAGTTGTGTGCAGCCTCAGCTCTCAATAGGCTGCTGGTGCTCTGTGACAACTCCATAACCCTGGTTAATATGCTGAACCTGGAGCCAGTCCCCTCAGGAGCCCGCATCAAAGGGGCTACAACATTTGCAGTGAACGAAAACCCTGTGAATGGAGACCCCTTCTGCGTGGAAGTGTGCATCATCTCAGTGAAGCGCAGGACCGTCCAAATGTTTCTGGTGTATGAGGACCGAGTACAGATTGTCAAGGAAGTGTCCACTCCAGAGCAGCCTCTTGCTGTGGCTGTGGATGGCTACTTCTTGTGCCTGGCCCTGACCACACAATACATCATCCTGAACTACAGCACGGGCCTTTCCCAGGACCTGTTTCCCTACTGCAGCGAGGAGAAGCCACCCATTGTCAAGAGGATAGGCAGACAGGAGTTCCTGCTGGCTGGCCCTGGAGGCCTGGGTGAGGAGGGGCTGCAGCGTTGCTGTTCAGGGCACCTGCATCCTGTCTGCTGTCTTAGGGTTTCTGGATACACCTTGCAGTAGGGGGTGAGGGTTTCTGAGAAACGCATCATTAGGTGCTGCCATTATACATTGTCAGAGTATCTGTTGGTCGGTTAAGATGGCTACAATGGCACTAGGTCATAGCAGATCTGCATAACTGGTGTGTGCTGAAATTCCATCAGATTTCAGTGGGGGGTGGGGTCACCGTTTCCCACCAGAATGGTATTTCGGATAGAGCCAGTGAACCTGTTTAACACCTGATAATATATATATATATAAAATTTATAAATTAATACCTGATAAACAAAGTTCAGATTCACATTAGGGCTCATTCTTGGTGATGTACACTTGACAGGCTTGCACAAATGTACATTGACTTGTAACCACTCCTGTGGTGTCCATACGTATGGTTTCACTGCCTTAAAAAATCCCTGGGCTTGACCTTGAATCCCTACCCCACCTCCTGGAAACCACTAACCTTGTTCTGCATTCGTTCATAGTTGGCCTTGGAATGTGTAGTTAGAATCCTATGATATGTGGCCTTTCAGAGTGGCTTTTACTTGACTGTGTATTCAAGACTCTTCCATGTCTGTTCATAGCTGGATAGAAGAAGAAAATGCTTGGTCCTAATGTCCTCTGCTCTAAAAAAAATGAATTTTTATAATGGAAAAGAATATCTATATGGATCTATCTATATTTAATTACATATTTATATTATATAAATTATACATAATATATTAGAATTAATATATCATTATAAATATATTTGTATATAATTTACATATAATATAAATTATTAAATTATATGTTTAGTTATTTATATATTGTAAATCATACATGTTTGTATATAATTTATATGCTATGTAAATTATTATATATCATTTATAAATTAACTAAGTATATGATTATATATTTGTGTATATAATATGTAATTATATATTATGTACATTTATATATAATTATATCATATATGTATTATATATTAAAATATTGTTAAATAAATAAATTAGAATGTAATTATATATTTAGTTAATCTATAAATATATATCATCTAGCACACATACACATATATAGGCATAGAGCATGGCATAAAGAAACCAGTGTGTGTTCTCTGGCCTCCGCCCCGTCAGCCCCTAGTTGTTATTTTGAAGCAGCTCTAGATACCATAGCACTTCCTCTGTAAATCATGTAATATGGTTCACAGTTACAGACACATGTGCAAAGGAAAAACTGCAACGATGTGAAATACTCAAAATACTCTCAGATACATTCACACACGGTGTATTCCTCCTGTGTTATCTTATGTAACGGACACACAAATACATATGTGTGCTTGTATTTAAATATCTGTAATATTTGTGGTTGTTGTGTTTTCAGTTTTCTTGTCTCGGTACCATCCAGGGCTCATACGCTGTAGTTGGCTGACAAATTTTATTTTTTCTTTAGGTCCCTCCCTCTCTTTTCATTTTTTTCATTAGCTTTTCCTTTTCCCCTTGCTGAAGGAGTTGGGTGGTTCCCTACACTCTGGAATTTTGATAGCTTCATCCCCATCCAGTGGTTTAACATTCCTCCGTGACCCTCAGACCTCTGTTCACTGTAAGCAGATAACTAGGAGATGTAAGGGGTTTTTGTGCTTACTTTGTGGGGGAGGCAAGAAACCTCATAGTGTGGGTACCTCTGTGGGAGTTTGCATGGCTTCCTCCCTTTGTGATGAGACTGGCTGTTGATGACCATTGCCTGGTCCATGCCATCATTATGCCTAACAGTAGGCAGCACTGTGTTTCTGTCTATTCTTCCCTTCATCTACCACTGGGAATGCCTCTGGGGAGCGAACTTTCCCTTCCTTAACCACTTGGCATCCCCTAGGAACTGTGTGTGAAGTCGGGGTGAGACATTAAGGTCTCATCTATCAACTAGGGATATTTTTTAACACTCCTAACAGAGCTTACATGGTGGATTCTTGAGCTACTTTGCCATGTCTCTAGAAATCCGAGGGCTTCACATTTCATATGTTCTTGCCCCAGACCTGGTGTCAAGCCACTCTTCCCCAGAGCCCTGCTGCTTACAGACCAGGGTCTGGATGCGGGGGCTCTTGTGCATGGACAGTGCTGGGAATGCCACCTTTTTAGGATAACTGCATCATATGATCATGTTAGGACCCATCCTTCTGTATCTTAGTGTCACCTTGCCACCACACCAAGGTTTCATGTGCATCCTCCTGCAAGTTCTGTGATCTAGATCCCCACAGAGGACCCAGCCTGTATCCTGCCCACATCTAGCCTCCTCCTTAGGTAACCTATTTATTGTTTGTTTGTTTGTTTGTTTGTTTATTATTAGTAGTAGTAGTTTTGCTTTTTATTTCAGCAGATTTACACTGAGTGTGATGAATGTATGTGGGCTGAGCTGGGTATCGCCATGTCTCCCCTGGTAAGGGTTATTTTATAGTCTCCCTGGTGACATTGGCAATGCTCTTCCCCCAGGCTTGGCCATCAGAGTGTGCTGCCAGACTTTTGTGTCTTTGGCAGCACAGCACATTTCCCTGTGAGCAACGCTGAGGATTCCTTATGTTTAGGAGTCGGTTGTGCTTCTTTAGGTTATAAATAGGGATTACCTGTTTTGTTGTCTATTTTTAATTGTGTGTGTGTGTGTGTGTATGTATGTATGTGTGTACACGAACATGCTACAGACTAAACTCAGTTCCTCATCCATGCCAAGCCCATGTCCTACCACTCATTGAACCTCACCCCCACCCCAGACCCTCTGTTATCACTAGTATTGTTTGGTATTCTTTATATATCTGAAATACCAACGTGTTTGCCAATTATAGGTATTTGTTTCCATTTTTTGCCTTGCAAAAATCTCTTTTTACAAAGTGCTGTATAATCCAATGTATCGACGTTTTAAGTTATTACTTTATGATTTTGATTCGTAATTGGGAGGCTTCCCTGTCTTCCAGTTTATAGACAAGTCACCTGTGTTTTCTGATATTACCTGTACGGTCTCATGTCTCACCATGTAAAGCAGCAACTCTATTGCTATTTTTTTTATGTGACTGTCCACTATGCCCATAAACTGTAGGCAGAGCCCTTCTCTTGGCTGATTTCAGGGGCTGCCTTTAATAGACACCGACTTCCTCATGCCCTGGGTGTCTATCTGGAATTCCCACTTCACTCCACCTGTCCTCGTGTGTCGCCCCAACTGCTCTGGTTCTGAAGGGTTCACGGGGAAACTGTTAGATTCTCGTGTTCCTTTCTTGCTTATAGTGCTAGATTAAAGGGAGTGACAGTCGTCTGTTATGTGTCATCTACATGAGCGTCATGCTAAATGCTAACCGACGTACTTACTTGTCCTTCTGCCTGTAGTGAATGCAGTTATGAGCACATAGAAAGGGTATTTGTAAGGTCTCTTACATATACCTTCTGTAACTATAGGTTCTACAAATAGCATCATCACCCAGCTCTGGAAATCAACAGTTCAAACAAGTTACTATCGAGATTATAAATGCACCTTTTAGCATGACACCTATTTTTATTCTTTTCTTCTGCCTTTCTCCCTGAGTGTAACTTGTGACTGCTCTTGTCATACGAGATCATGCTTGACCTTTTGTGAGGCAAGTTTACCTAACTTTTTATACTATTTTAGCCATACCCTTTGATGATGGCGCTTCTCAGACAAGGGAAATAACTCGGTTGTGCTTCATGTTACGTGGGCCTAGATCACAGGTGGGCTCGAACCTGGAAGGGGCATGGCCAAAAAGAATGGTCTTAAAAGTTGGTGTGCCCTTTCCAAATCTCCCACGCTGTGTACTGACAACACCTGGGCTCCTGTAGTACTGTAAAAGCAACAGACTTCATCACCTGCTTGGCCAGAAGAGAGTTAGCTAGGGCACTTTAGCCACAGACTAGTTAGTAGCCTCTTCCTAGGGGGTGCTTTTCTGACTTTACTGGACCTTCTCGTTTGCCCGTTCCGGCTCTGTTCCTTCTCGTTTGCCCGTTCCGGCTCTGTTCCTTCACTCCAGTGAAGCTGCAGAAGCCGTAGTTCTTGGCATCTGTCTTCTGCCCTCTTTATGTCAGAAACACTAGCCAGGGCCTCTGCACTGTGTGATTCCCTGGAGAGGGTAAGTGCAGTGACCCTGACTGGCAGTGTTGAGAATCTCCATCTTATCCTGGAGTCTCGTTGCTCGGAACATGGCTTTTTCACCCAGAATTTAGCAGAATCTCTGGGATCGCTCATGCTCATCCCTTTGCCAGTCTGTACTTCCCTCCTGTCTTGGAGGCGGCATCACATCACCAGCTGTGCTGTTCATTTCTTCTCCGTTTTGCCCTCTTTGGCTGACTTCCAGGGACAGCACTAGCATCCCCAGCGTGGTCTTCACGCATCGCTGTGCTGCACTCCGCCGGTGTTTTCTGATGCTGTTCTGTGTACTTGGGCATTACTGTTTGCTGTGATCAGGACGTGTGTCACCAGAGGGTCCCTGTGTTAGAGTTGTAGTCTCCAGGTGACAACTGGGAAGTGGTGGGTCCTCTAGGACAGTGGCTCTCAACCTTTCTAACACTGCCACCCTTTAATACAGTTCCTCATGTCGCGGTGACCCCCAACCATAAGATTATTTCGTCTCCACTTTGTAACTATAATTTTGTTGTTACGTAAGTGTTTTTTTCCTAGGGTCTTAGGTGACCCCTGTGAAAGGGTCATTCAACCCCCAAGGGGTCATAACTGACAGGTTGAGAACCACTGTTCTAGGAGGTGGAATCTGGAGGGAAGACTTAGGGTGGGCCTTAGAAGGATTGGGGCGGGTCGTCTAGGTTCCTCCCTCCCCACTTTTCTGGGTTTGCTTCCTGCCTCATGAGGTAAGTGGCTTTTTCCTGCTTTATGCTCCTGCTAGGATGTGGTACCTCAGCAGAGACCCAAAGCAATGGGGCTTTCAACCCCTCCTTTTATACCTGCCTCCTCTCCCACCCCCTGTTATAACAGAAGCCGCTTGATTGCTTTCGTGGTGTCTAATCATTTGGAAGCAACACTGTGATGCTTTCAAAAGTTAAAATTAAAATGGATAGATGCCTCTTGGTCAAAATATTCATCTCAGTAATCCCTAATATCAGTGCCTTATGTACAGTATAGATAAACTGTCACAAGTTTACTATGGACAAAGGCTTTACAGCAGTCTGTCTTGAATAAACAAACCAGTTTTCTGTGTTATAGCATATGTGTTCTTATAGCATATATATATTCTCAGTGATAAGGAGGTAAAACCAACTCTAAGCATAGCCAGCTTCTGAATGGACTCTTAGTAGAGTGCCTGGCATACAGTAGGTGCTCAGTAAATCTGTGTGAACAAATGTGTGAAAAAGAGCTTGAAGCATAGAAGCCAGGTGAAGTAGTGGAAGAAAGCCTGCCACGCTCCTGAGCAGTTTTCTTTCTCCTGTGGGGGAACATGTCATTTATAAATGGGCGCGTGAGTTCAATGGAGATATTTTAAAATCTCATTTGTAATTGCAAGCAGACATGATATGCATCCTGAATAAGGTGGTTCTCTTCATGGTGATGAAGTCATATAGTTCTTCGCACAGGAGTATATTCTATTACTGTTTTTGAAGTGCAAGCCTGTTGGAGAATCGAGTGAGCCAGTTACTTTTCACCCGGTCATTTCTATGGCAAAGAACACCTCATAGTTATTTGACAACACCTCCTTTCTGTTTTTCTAGGCATGTTTGCCACCGTGGCTGGGATTTCCCAGCGTGCCCCTGTGCACTGGTCGGAGAATGTGATTGGGGCGGCCGTGTGCTTCCCCTATGTCATAGCGCTCGATGACGAATTCATCACGGTTCACAGCATGCTGGATCAGCAGCAGAAACAGACCCTGCCCTTTAAGGAAGGCCACATCCTGCAGGACTTTGAAGGTACCTGTTAAAATAGAAATCTTAACAGCATTTTCTTTCCAGGCCTTCTGTGGTCTTTCTACCGTAAATGATACTGGGGACGTATTAGGAGCTGGGCCTCATGCTGAGAGAAGAAACACAAACAGCTGGAGAAATGCCTTGTGCTCACGCGCACTTGCTGCTCTTGCAGAGGACCCAGGTTTGGTTCTCAGTACCCACACCAGGCTGCTCACCGCTGTGTGTGTGCACCTGAATATGTGCACCCCCCACCACACACACACAAATACAAGAAATAAATCTTTAAAAAGAAAAGAAGACAACCGTTGTAATGCAGTTTCTGTGCTTCGGGAACAACACGGTTAAGGGCATGAGAGGCATTTCAGTAAAGAGCCACAGCAGTTTAAGACTCAGCTGGAGATGGAGTAGGCCCCCTGGGGAGTGCAAAAAAAGAACTGATTCCTGGAGAAATCAGGGAGGGCTTCCTGAGGGTGACATTTAAGGACGAATAGGAGTCAGCCAAGCAGGTGTATGCAGAACCTTCTATCAGAGAAAAGGGTGTGTCTGAACAAGAGGTCCCACAAGTGAGTCCTTGGTACAGCAAGGGGAGGGGCACGCCAAGGCTACAGTGTGGTTGGGCACAGTTGGCAAGTGGCCTCAGTGCCGTGTGCTCCAGTTTCAGTTTCCCTCTGTCCCATTTTGACCATTTTCAACCGTTCAGAGAACTGAGTGAGAGACAGAATGAACCACCATAGTCCCTTCACCTAGACTAGAAGCCGGTCTGTGTTTTGCAGCATTGCTCATAAGGAAATGGAAGACACTGACTACCTCAACACAAACCTCCTAAGAACATTATAGCTAAGAATGTTGACGTTGGTTCTGTAGTACCATCTACTAGCCTGCCCATATTCATGTCCAAAGAATAGCTTTGAGTATTTTTAATCTAGATTCATACCTTGTACTTGCCATTTGAAGATATTTTTGTTCTCCAAACATCGCCTTCCTGGTGTCTAAGATGCTGTGGTACAACCTTAGTGAGACATGTAGCCCCCACCACGACGGGGGTCAGCGCCAAGGAAGCACTGACACATGAATTGGAGTAACATGTGCCGTCGTCCCTTGGTACGCACATGGACAGGTTGCAGGATCCCTTTTTCAGTGGCATGGCTTAGCATTAGCCTAGAACCTACACGCATACTTTTGTTGGCTTTGAATCATCTCTAGATTACTTATACCACTTACAGCCATGCAAATGCTATTTAAATAGTTGTTACTTCATGTGTTGTTTAGGGAATATGGACAAAAGAAATCTACCTATGTTTGGCTACAGACACAATCATTTCTTTCCCAAATTATTTTCAGTCCCCAGTGGGTTGAACCTACAGACTCAGAAGCTGTGGACATGTAATCTGCAGATACAGGGGGCTGACTGTGTACGCAGGTTGTGGGACTTTGTGCATTGACTGGTGCACACTTGCATGGGGCTTATTGACATGGAGGAAGCCCGTGTAGCCTACCTTTTATGGGAGCAAAGAGTCTCCTAGAAAGAGTGGTTCCAAATAGACAGCCAGAAAACAAGGAAAACCACTTTGGTTGGAATACAGAGCCAGAAGAAATCAGTTAACTACTTCATGTGGATAGGGACTGCTGAGCTAGGAGAAGGATCAGAGTTTAATTTGAAAGCCCAGTGGAAGGAGCTAGCTTGGACTGCAGTCTTGATCTTCTACAGACTTCCTGTCGAGGGTCTTGGGTACAAGGGTGACAATGATGGGCAAGGAGAGCTGGCAGGATAGTAGGGAAATCAGCAAGTGAACCGAAAGACTAGGTGGTATATGGATGGACAGGAAGCATGAAGTATCATCTCACAGTTCAAAGTATTACATGACAATCTTGGTTTATGTAAACCAACTCTGGAAGGAAAAGATTATCAGTGAGTTTTTGGTAGTGTTCCATGAGCTACAGCTCCACTGGACTCTGTATCATTTGTCTCCTCTGGGTTTCTCAATCAATGGGCACTTTCATACAGAAAAAGGGATAAAGAGCACATTTTATTCCTTAGCAATGTGATGTTAAAGGTTGCCCTTCCCAACAGTTGTCAGTGTGGGTGGAAGAAAAGGGAGGCATCATACCATAATTTCGTTTGGGATGGTGTTGGAGAAGCTGGTGGGAGTGATTAGCAGATCAGATAAGGGCTGAGCATGAGGATTGCAGTAATGCATTGCGGGAGGCAATGCTCTTCCCGTTCCAACAACATTAATGTTTTTCTTCTCTTCCCTCAGGAAGAGTGATTGTTGCCACAAGTAAAGGAGTTTACATCTTGGTTCCATTACCTCTGGAAAAACAAATACAGGATCTGTTAGCAAGCCGGAGAGTGGAGGAGGCCTTGGTTTTAGCAAAAGGAGCCCGGAGGAACATTCCAAAAGAGAAATTTCAGGTTGGTAATTAACTGGTCCCAAGAAAGCATGCCTGCAAGCCACAAGTTGGAAGCATTTGGCTTTAACCACATGCATTGGGCTCACTCTACATAAGACCATGTGCAGAGTTTTTGTACCCGTTGTGTAGTTAACACATCTCACCTGCCATAGGTAAGGAAACAGGTTGCAGAGCAACCACACAGCTCTCCTGCAATTGCACAGCTAACATGGGAAGGTGAGCTTGTCAGTTTCTTACTTGATACACTAGACTGTATTTGAAATCAACTCCCTTCTTCAGTCACCTTCTGAGAACAGTTATGAACGTGATCCTTATAAACTGGCAGAGTGAGATCAGGCCACTGGTCTCTGATTTTAGAGTTTGTATTTGTTGGGGTTCAGTTAATTTGCATGTGTGTCCTCCCTGTAGACTGTGGGGGCGGGGCACATGCATCCAGGATACATGCAATCCAGTGCATTTGTAGACCACATATTGTCACATTGCAGTGTCAAAAGGTTGGGTCCTCTTGAAGAGTCGGTCTTTTATCATCTGTAGGCAATACTTTGCCCACTATGTGGATAAAGTACCTCTCATTGCAGGAGCCCAGCCACTTCCTTTCCTCAGAAAACCTTAGCCTTCCAAGTACAGGAATCACAAGCACAGATTGCTACATATGGCCAGGAGAGAACACGTAGTACACTAAAGAAATATTAACTTTAAATGTTATTGATATAAATACACCCCAAATCAGTCACATTCCCTAAAATTCCTACTTGATCAGATGTGTCATTCAGGGCACTCTACCTACTTGAGAGTGCTAAAACATGTTAGCTGAACCTGGAGGCATAGACCTGTAAAGCTAGCTACTTAGAAGCCTAAGTTAAGGGAGCCTCAAGTTCAAGGCTTGCCTGAGGTACAGAGTGAGTCCAAGGCCAGCCTGGAAATTTAGGGTAACCCTGTCTCCAAGTAAAAAGTGACGTCACTTTCCTAGCATGGGTGAGGCTTTAGGTTCAATCCCCAGGGCTACAGAAAGAGCAACAACAGAACTCCACAAACAACCCAAAACCGTGGTGTCGTATAGAATTCTATTATCAGGAGAAGCAATCACTAACAGTGCTTAGAAACTACAGCCAGTCAGATTCTACCCATGACTGATTGCTGTGGCGGAAAGGATGTGTTTGGATGTAAGCTGCCTCATAGAGCAAAGGGTAGCTTCTGCCAGTGAATGAGAAGAGCCTGGGTCATATAGATGGATAGCACTGAGAAGTTCTCATCCCTGCTCCTAACTTGCTGAAGTGGCACTGACCTATTGGCATTCAGCAGGGGGCAGCAAACACAAAGGCACAAACCTCTGACTGCTGCCACTTTTGTTACCTTTCGCATCCACACAGTGCAGGCAGGCATGGCTGTGGCTGAGTGAAGAGGAGCTGCACGGGCAGTGTGCAGCCATGGCATTGTGTCACAGTTGCTGGTGAAGGGGTGTGCTGGCCTGGTACAATCCCATGTGCAGAGCACTCACATTATATAGCATTTCCTTATGGAGGTTTTCAATGTTCTGTGCCTGGAATTTTGCTTTTTCTCCTCTGCCCTCTTTGACAAGAGCAAAGGTGCATAGCCAACACCCGATGAAATCACATGAGTTCTCCTGCTCCCCAGCCTGCATCTGACCCCTGCCTCCTCCCTGTATTGCAGCAAGTTCAACTCTCTTGTTATGTGGGTGTTATTTTCCCTGAGCTATGCAAACAGCCGTGTGTGTGTGTGTGTGTGTGTGTGTGTGTGTGTGTGTGTGTGTGTGTGTGTGTATCTGCAGTCCCATGCACATACCACTATTTCAAAAGATGCTCCCCATCCTCTTTTCTGGACATATTTTCTACAGCTCATGCTGCTCCTGTGAAGCCAGTGTCTAACTCATACCTCCCAACCCCAAGGCATCATATAGTGAGAGTAAATGCACTGGCTCTGATCTCATCTTCAGTCACAAGAAGGCCACTATGAGGACTTCATGACCTCATCCAGAGCTGTCTGCATCCAGTGCACTGCCCCTCCAAACACTGTTAACGTGAATTTGGGGGTGACTTTGATGACTCATTCAAACTTCAGCCTCCTTACTAATGGAGACCTAGGAGTTGGTGGTGGTTCTGTCTCCCTCCTGGCATGGAGGTCAGGGCATTTGAGTCTAGGAGCCTCAGGAAGATGCTGCTGTCACTGATTTCTCTGTAGCAAGCCTGATTATAGCTAGGAATTCCCCCACACCTGATAGGTCCTTTTTGCTACAAGGATGACCCATGCTATTTCTACTTCCAGAAACAGAACTGCATAGTGGGCAGCAGGACTCTGCTTTCTGAGTATTGTTATAAGGTGGTATAGTAAGTCCAGTTGTTAGGTCAGAAATGGCTGTTTTCAGAGAAGAGACATAAAGGCAGATGGAGAGAAGGGAGACAAGCAGTTAAGCAATGTGCTGATCTCAGTGCCCCAAAGGAGCTGTTGCTATGCTTGGAGAGCTCTTTAAAACCAGAGTGAGCTGCGGTGTAGCTCAGGAGCACAACACTTGCCCAGCATGCACAAGAACTTCAGTTTGATCCCCAGTAATCCAAATGAATCCACAATTCACACACACACACACACACACACACACACACACACACACACACCGCTGAAAAACCTTTTAGAGTTGATTTGAGAGAAGAAGATTGTTTTAAAAAAACAATAGAATGTGTTGATGAGGTCTGGCTTTAGATCATGGCTTAATCATTTATTACTTTAGTCACTTGGAAGTAAAAACTCATCTCTAAATATAATTTCTCATCTTTAAAATGGGGTGGGGGCAGTGAGTGACAATGATTTGTTTAATGAAAGTGGACCAGGGAATCCTTCAGATCAATAATTCCTGAATTAATAGAAGAGAATTGATAAGCTGGTGATTAGGTGCCCAGGTAGTAGTGGGCATACCTTATATTCAAGGATCTCTTGGCATTCTAGGTTAGAAGAAGAGTTAGTATCAAAGAGAGCGATGAAAACCGTCTTCAGTTGGGAGACAGAGTGCTAGGATGATGTTGTTGGCATACTCGAGAACAAGCAACAAGATGTGTCCCGACTCCATTTCAGACGAACCTTCGCAGACCTCAGAAATGGACAGTTAGAGAAGGGAGGAAGGGACTCACTCTCCTGAAGTGTGCACATGGGCTTTGTTTGTTTGTTTGCTTTTTGAGACAGGGTTTCTTTGTATAGCCCTGGCTGTCCTGGAACTCACTATGTAGACCAGTCTGTTATTTTATTAATGTGAGGGGAGTATTTCCAAGAGATAGGAGCACTTCCTCAGCTTCGGCTAAGAGGGTCCATGTGTCTATGTAGTACTTAAGTTGAACTAGCCTTGTGTCTGAGGAATGTTATAAGAAATACTTTGCAAAGTCACTTTCAGAGGAGTAGAAGATGATGCCAAAATTCCTGAGGTTGTTGATTTCCACCTGAGCAACCAAAGGTTAAAGCAGTCACAGAAGCCTAGTGGATTGAGGAGAAGAGGGGTGAGGCAGTACATTAGGGGTTCATGGATACAAACCTATGAAGATGTGTGTGTGTGTGTGTGTGTGTGTGTGTGCGTGTGTGCGTGTGCGTGTGCGTGTGCGTGTGCGTGTGCGTGTGCGTGTGCGTGTGTGTGTGTGTGTGTGTGTTCAGCTCCTGCTCAGTAGAGCTCTTCCATGCATGCACGAGGCTCTGGGCTCCACCCTCAAGTACCATAAGAAGAAAGATTTGCATTTGTACTGAAGACGTTCAGACTGTTTTCTTGGACATCATACTTAAACTGCATAGTTTAAGAACTGTTTATATTGGATTTACAACTTGCTTGGTATTACAGATAATCTAGACGTGACTTAAAGCATGTAGGATGATGTGCATAGATGCTATGGGGTACAATGCTGTTTTATATGAGGGACTTGAGCATATGTTGGTATCTCTGGATACCAACATATCTGGAACCAGTGCCTTTTCACTACTGAGGGATAATTCCATATTTTCAAGTACATTTTATTTTTTTCTTTAGCTAGTAATGTGTTATCTCTGTGGATTACGGTAAATTGGGTTGTGGCTGACAAATGCAGCCTAGCCCTTTGGTGATGGTTTTAAGGAGATAATTGATCTGTGTTTCCTTACAGGTAATGTACAGGAGGATTCTGCAGCAGGCAGGCTTTATACAGTTTGCACAACTCCAGTTCCTGGAAGCCAAGGAGCTCTTCAGGTAATTTGAAGTGTTGGTAGCAGGACTGTCACTCAGTGTCCCCTCTGTTGGGAACCTCCATCATCTGTGTGATTTCAAGGGGGGGATTGTGACTAGGCCAGATGGAGATGCAGGTAGGAATGGGAAGGGCTGTTTGTGGTAGTTCACACCTTCCAGGGTGGTTCCTGGGCTCCACCACCCGCCTGAGAAGGCCCACTGTCCCAATTCCTGAGTTGGCAGGCTGAGGAGAGTCCATGAAGGTGGCAGGGCTCCTGAGCCAGGACAGCAGGGTTCTGGAGTGGGATTGCTAAAGTGGATTCTGAGGACCATTTATTCTTGCCTCCTTTCCAGAGGTTTCACTAGAAGTTAAGTTTAGAGAAAGCAAGGGCTTCTGGGAAAACCTATAAAACATTTTTGTTGTTTTTGTTTTTTGGTTTTTTGAAATAGGGTTTTTCTGTGTAGCCCTGACTGGAACTCACTCTGTAGACCAGGCTGGCCTTGAACTCACATAGATCTGCATGGCTCTGCCTCCTGAGTGCTGGGATTAAAGGTGTATGCTGCCACTGCCCAGCCTATAAAAACTTTTAAATCATCCTGTAGACTTTCAGGATGGTATGTACCCAGTTAGCCCACTCAGGAAGTGAGTTTGTCTTTAGGACAACCGTCTGTCGTTCTGATGGGTCCTGTAGCTGTGGAGCTCTGCTGTGGGCCCTCACAGGCATTCGTTTCCTCTCTTTGTCTTCTCTCCATTTCTCTTGCTCTGGGTCTTCCTGACCCACGTGTGTAGGAAGCACACTTTTGTCATCACACCTGCCCTCGTGTCTGTCCTTTGCTCACACCAGCGTGTTTCTGAGTGGGGGCTGTCTGGTACATTGTAGGGTGCTCAGCCCTGGATCCTACCTGCTGGATAGTAGTAGCACAAACCAGGTTAGGATAAAGACCCTTATAACCACCACTGAGCAACCTTTTGGAATTTAGTATCAGGAAGATACTGGTTTCTGAAGGTCCATGACCCTGTCCTGGCTCAGATTGATGCCACATTGCTTTTGGATGGGTCTTTCTTGCTCAAGGAATCCCAGGGCTCATTGGGTTTTCCTCACAGCTCAGGTGTCTTGATGTTGCGATCCCCGGTCATCTGTATATGTTCCTCACCCTTGTCTCTACTCTTTGGAATCAGGTTTGGTGCTGTTTCACTGGCACTAGCAACTTAGGATGATCACTTGGACACACTCGCCCCGTTGACATGTGCCGACAGGCACTGCCCTCCAGTGTTGTTTGTGTGCCTATGTGTACTCTCTCTCTCTTTGCTTCATTTAGTTTGACACTGTAATTGCAGAAGCAGCCAGCTGGATGTCCGGGAGCTGATCTCTCTCTACCCCTTCCTGTTGCCCACCTCCTCTTCCTTCACCCGGTCTCACCCTCCTCTTCATGAGTATGCAGACCTGAACCAGCTGACCCAAGGCGACCAGGAGAAGATGGCCAAGTGCAAGCGCTTCCTCATGAGCTACCTGAATGAAGTCCGCTGCACAGAGGTAGCAAATGGCTACAAGGAAGACATAGACACGGCCCTGCTCAAGCTGTATGCAGAGGCTGACCACGACAGCCTCCTGGACCTCTTGGTCACTGAGAACTTCTGCCTGCTGACGGACAGTGCTGCCTGGCTGGAGAAGCACAAAAAGTGAGTGTTCTCAGCCCCACGTGGTAGGCCTTCCTCTCCAGCCCTCTGGTACCCCATGAGGCCCCTCAAGGGGATGCTGTGAGACTGACTGAGCCAGCATTGTGTTTGGATTCTCAAGGGTCCAGGCAGCAACCACCAAGAAGTCATTGTGACACCAGACATCAAACGGTCCTTGGATGGCGATGTTCTCCTGGTCTAAGCGGCCTTGGGGGACTTCACTCTTGTGCTTGTTCATGTTGGAGAGTACAATGTGAATTACCATGAGCTTTGTTAGTAGATGCAGGAACTCAGAATGTCCTGTTGTCAGACTAGGACCCACCCTTACAAGATGTGCATACTTGGTAGGAATAGTGCAATTGAGTCACTCATGACCAAATTGGTTAGCTAGGTGCCTAAATAAATAGCTGAGCCTTCTTGATCTTGTTGATCATCGTTTGAACTGCCTTCATTATGCCTGACAGTTAGTAGGCAGCCCTAAATCCATAGCCAGTGAACCCACAGTGGCCAGCTTGCTTAGGGCTGGCAACTCCATGGGGTTTTTATATATGATTTTTAAAAAAGATTATTTTCATTTTTGTCTACGTACATGTCTCTGTGTGGCTTTGTGCATATAAGTGCAGGTGCCCACAGAAGCCAGAAGAGGGCGTTAGTCCCCTGGAGCTGGAGTTAGCAGGTTTTGTGAACTGCCCGACATACTGCTGGGAACTGAACTTGGGTCCTCTGCTTAAGAGCCTAGCCATCTCTCCAGACCTCATGTGACTTTTGTTTAGAGTTTAAAATGAAAAAGGACTAGTGAAGATGTGGGGCCACCGTGCCAGATCCCCTTTGATGGCTGAGGTGGCCTGGGCTTCCTTGGCAGTGTTAGCTCCTTCCATAGCTTGCAGTGAACACATTATGGAATGGTGGTTGGAGGTTGCATATCTCTTAACCAAGATGCCTGGACAGAAAAGTTTCCAAATTCAGAGTTTTTCAGATTTTGGAATTTTTTTGTATTCTTTAGCAGTTTCCTAATCTGAAACCCTAAAATCTAATATGCTTCAAGACCTGAAACAGGCTGGGGAGAGGGTCTGTGGATAAGGCATTCACTATACAAGCATGAGGACTGGAACTTAGACTCTAGAAGCCACACAAAAGCTGGGCACGTGTGGCAGCCTGCCTGGGACCTGCTGGCTCCTAGACTAAGCAATCTGCTGGGCTCCAGGTTCAATGAGAGACCCGACTTCACGAAACAGAGTGGAGAGTGATAGAGGAAGATGGCTGAAGGCAAGGCTTGGCCTCCCTCCATAGGAACATGCCCCCAAACACATGCAGACTACACTTGGGATCACACACACACACACACACACACACACACACACACACACACACACACACACACACACGAAAAAGAAAATACCCTAAGCTTTTTAATCATCGGGTTTGCCCTTAAAGTTTCATGTGTTGGCATGATTCAGATTTCACGTTGCAGATTAGTGCTCCTCAGCCTGTTTGGTTTCAGATCCAGAGTGCACACTGACACCTGGTGGCAGTGGCTCAGGATGTTTTGTCTGTAAAAAGTCACCTAATGTTCCTAGAGATTTCAAAGAGACGGTTCCAGCTGACACTTGAATGTCTTGAGATGTGGCTCTCTAAGGGAAGGACTGGACCTCTCCGGGGGTCACCTGCTGAATGGGAAGAAGCCCATGGGCAGAGCATGAGCTGTGCATGTCCCGGACTGTGCCACGTTCTTGCTTATCCTTCCCATCCTTTCCCTTTCCAGGTACTTTGCCCTAGGACTGCTGTATCATTACAATAAACAAGATGCCTCTGCTGTTCAGGTGAGTTCAGAAAGATCTGAGTGGGTGAGAGCACCTGCTGTACAAGGCTTGACACCTGAGTCTGAGCCTCAGAACCCATGGTGTCCAGAGAACAGCTTCGGCAGGTTGTTCTCAGACCTCCATATGCATACTGAGGCACACGGGGCTTCCACATTTACACATACACCACGCACTCGCACACATACACACACACACACACACCAAAAACAAAAACAAAAACAAAACACTTTAGTGTTATTAAAAGGCCAATAACCTTTAATTTTGTGTTACTTTTTGAAAACCCATCCATCAATAGAAACCACTTTTGCCTGATCTGGTCTTTTCTACAGAGAACAAAAATAATAGTGTTTTCAAAAGTGAACTCCTTGGGAAGTGTTGACTGCAAGTCTCTGTACTTGTTCCTGACAAAAAGACCAAAAAGTAATATTTTTAAATCTCCTTAAAGAACATTACCACGCTTGAGTTTGTGAAATTGAAGAAATGAAAAAAGGCAGATTTCCTTTTAAAAAATGAAAAGGGGGCCTGGAGCAGTGGCTCAGCAGCTAAGAGCAGCTGCTGTTCTTCTGGAGTCCATTTCAGCATGCGTGTTGGGTGGCTCACAACCTCCTAACTCCAGATCTGAGGGATTGACCCTCCCCTCCCCCATTTCTGGCCTCTGTGGGCACTGCACACATGTGGCATATGCACACACAGACACATTCATACACATCAGTGTGTATTTAGAAAATTATCACATAGTAATGCACACATTTCTTGGATTCTGGGTACTGCTAGTCATGTGCTTGCAGTGGAAGGTGACCTAGTCATGGTCACTGGTGTCCCCACCTTCTTAATGGTTCCCCATCTCTCTGCAGTGGGAAACTTAGACCTCTTCTGTAAACAGTGCTTCTGTTCACCCCACTGAGCACAGAACACTAAAGATTATTTCTCTAACTGTATTTTAGTAATCTATATCTAACTTCCCCCTGCCCACCCCCTCCCTGCTCTTCCTAACTGCTAATATCCCCTGCTTTTTATGACTTTTATGAAATCAGCTTAAAAATGTGATAGTTTTGCTGAGCCAGTAGGCATATGACATCACCTTAGAAAATTAAGGCAGCAAGTAACGGTTGCATTTATGATTTCCACTGTTAATAACAGCAACCATTGCCAGTGAACTGGGCGATTGCTTCCTTCACAGCATCAGTACAGAACCACAGCTGGTCAAGTTCATGCCCCTGCTCTGTGGAGGAGCTGTGGTGTGAAGGCCAGCAGGGATGCTGGGCCTGAGTTGAATGGCATCGATTTGTTAGCCTTGCCTCTTGGCTTGCACCTTACAGCTTTCCATTGATCTTTACAGAGCATCTTCTCACACCCTGGGGATATGTGCTCCGTCTGCCCTGTTAGGCCTCAGATTGCATTGGGTGCTAGTTTCCTCGTGAGCTCGTGTAACGTGGGCTTCCTGGCTTTGGCCATGCCTTCGTGAGTCTAGTCTGTGGCTACTTGGCTAACATGTCACAATAACATAATTGCAGAGCGAAGAGAACAGGAAAATGAGTTTCCATCAACACATGCCTCAAAGGCCAAGAGCAGATTTGGATATTACAGACAAAACGTTTATTTTTAAGACATGGTAGCAGCATCTTTAGAATTACTGCACGTGTGTTATGATGATGTTAGCACAGCTATAGAGAAAGATTTGCATACTTGAATAATATGGAGTAAATATTCATAAGTGGCGAAAGTTCCATAAAAAAAATCAATACTTTTCAGTGGACCTTTGATTCAGTTATTTAATAACTGAATTCAGGACTGAAAAAACTAATGCACATTGAGCATCCTAATCAGTTTTCATGGGGGGTGTCACCACCATTTTGAATTACAGATTATTTTAGATTTTGTGGTGTTTGCATGTACGAAATGAAATGTCTTGGACCAAAGACCTGAGCCTAAACTAAATTTCACTTGTGTCTTATACAAATAGCATGAAAGTAATTATACAATACTTTTGATAAGTCTGTGCTCAAAACCAAGTTTGATGGTGTGGAATTTTTCACTTTTAGTATCATCTCACATCGTCACAAAAAGATTTTAGCACATTGGGATGTTCAGATTTATTTCTCAAAAAACAAAAACCTGAAACTTAACTAAGAATTTACAGCTTTCTGTACTGTAGGTGGGGGGGGCAGCACCCTTTATTCAAAATGCTAAGGACCAGAATTGTTTCAGACTCTGAAGTAGTGCCTGGGCAGCGAGAGCCACTCCAGCCAGCCACCCGTCTGCAGCCTTGAAATTCAGGTGCACTGTCAACAAACATGCTTACCGATGTTCAGAGTCTAGATTTTCACGTGAGGGATGCCTCCCCCTGTGTCTTTTAAAAGTCTTAAGAGAGTAAGAGAACAAAGTTTTTCTAAGATAATTCTACAAGATATATAACAGTCTGGATTTAAATTTTCTTGGTTTTTATTTCTTCTCAGTTATGGGTGAACATTGTGAATGGGGACATCCAGGATTCCACACGCTCAGACCTGTATGAGTACATCGTTGATTTTCTTACCTACTGCTTAGACCAAGAGCTGGTGTGGACCCATGCTGACTGGCTGTTGCAGAAAAGTGAGGAGGTTTGTGTTCCATAAATGCATCCTCTTCAGAATGGCTGCTGTGAGACACCAGACGCCTCGTCAACTTTAGGTGGAAGAGGGAGAAAAAGCTACACTCATTCTCCTCCCCTGTTTACTTTGTGCCCCTTTTAATCCCTCCCTTTGAGCATGAGCACATGCCACAGTCTGCTGCTGCTACAGAGGTCCCATAGAACCCTCTTTCTGCAGAGGCCTCTCTTAGAAGTGTAAGCAGACTAGCCTGCGCATGTTCCCAGTGTTTGAAAACACTACAGTTCCCTCTTCACTCCTGGGAAACAGAAGTCTGCACTTTGTTTTCTGGGATGGGCGCAGGTTGTCACCCTGCACAGCCTGGTCCTTTGCAAGAAGTAGTCCCCAGTCTGGGCCACATCAGGAAGAGCATCTCCCTCTTCTCTTTCCATCACTCCTGCTTAGAGACTGTGGACATGGAGGTGGGAAGTGGCCTGAACATTACCTGGCTCGTCTTGGAGGCTGAAACAGGACAATAGTGAAAGAGCAACTCTTGGCTCTTGGCTGTAGAGCAGTGGGTCTCAACCTTCCTAACGCTTTGACCCTTTAACACAGTTCCTCGTGGTGTGCTGACCCCCAGCCACTAAATTGTTTTGTTGCTACTTCATGACTGTAATTTTGCCACTGTTATAATCATAATGTGCGTATCTGACATGCGACCCCTGGGTTGTGGCCCACAGGTTGAGAACCACTGCTCTAAGCCAGGCAGCATGCTCAGGACAGAAGGACACAGACCTTAATGAGGCCCCACAGGTCACCCCCACAAAGGCAGCAAGCATAACACCCATTTCCTTGACTTGCTTGGAGAGACAAGATCAGAGACGTTCAAAGCAGGACAGGGCAGACTCCTCTGCTGTCCATGCTACTTCCTGAACCAGGTCAGAGCCCTTATTCCATCCATCCTGAAACATTTTTAAATTTACGTTGATTTATTTGTGCACGTACATGTACATATATGTGCCATACTGTATGTACGATGATCAGAGGACAGCGGAAGCTCTCACCTCCCACCATGCATGTCCCAGGGACTGAATCCAGACATTCAAGTTTGGCAGCAAGTAACTTTACCTGCTGAGCCAGCTCACTGGCCCCTCCTTGCGTATTTTTTATTCCACTCCTCCTTTACCTCTACACATGCCTACAGAACACACCAGCACATGCTCCTATGGTGTGAATGCAATGTCATTGAAAGGATTAGGTCCTTTCCACTCACTGGGCAGTCACAGCCAAACACACAGTCTGTGTGCCCCGTGGTGACCCACCACATGGCCTCTGTCATCTCTTGAAGGGCATGGTTCACAAATGGGGTTAACAGACCTTTTTTCCGGGTAATGGTGGTGCACATCTTTAATCCCAGCACTCAAGAGGCAGAAGCAGGTGGATTTCTGCAAGTTCAAGGCCAGCCTGGTCTACAGAGCAAGTTCTAGGATGGCCAAGGCTGTTACACAGAGAAACCCTGACTTGAAAAACCAACTAACCAAACAACAGTAACAACAATAAGAAAACAAACAAAGAAACAAGACAGAAAACAAAAGGAAAAACAAAGAAATAACAGACCTTTTCAAGGTCATGTAGGCAAGCAGAGCTAAGACACAAATCCAGACTTGTAGCTGTGTTTGCGTTTCTTGTGTTTGGGGTTCACAGGGTATGTGGGTATGTGTGCATGTAAACCTGTGGGCATGCAATAATACTTGCACATGTAAGTGCACAGGGGAGCCCGACAAGGTGTAGTGGCCATCTTAGTATTTCCTCAGAAGGCAGAATTGGTCCAGGGTGCTCCTCGTGGCAGACATGGAAAGGCAGCCTGGAAGCCATTCAGGTACCCCAGACTCAGATGGCGGACTAGCCAAGTGCGGTAAATGATCTGCGAGCCAGACAACGTGTTCAGAGACCCGAGAGCACACTGCGTTTTCCTACTTTCTGGGTTTTCTCGCTTAAACTTTGCAAGGGACAGTCTTAGTAGGATAATCCGAACAGCACTAGAGTTGGTTGTGTGGCTGTCACGGCCTCTTACCAGGGACTGCTCCATTCTGTAGTTTCCAGTCACTCTAGAAGAATCCCAGCACAAGTGCCAGCCTCACTCCTGCCTGCATTGTGCCCTCTGGTTGGTCTTTCTCAGGACTTCTTGCTAGACTGTTTTCTTCCAAATTTTTGAGATAAGTGTGACACATGAGAAGCTGCCCCTGCTGAATACTTCAGCATATTCTGCACGATTTTAGCCAAAGCGTGAATGTTACATGACTGAAGGAGGGATGAAGAAAACTGAATTGCTGTTCTTTCTACAGATTGGAGTTCAAGTTTTCACCAAGAGACCTTTGGACGAGCAGCAGCAGACTCGTTTTAATCCGGATGACATTATTAGTTGCCTTAAGAAATACCCTAAAGCCCTGGTTAAATATCTGGAGCATCTTGTTATCGACAGGAGACTGCAGGTGAGCACTCGGAGCCCGGACTAAGGTCCCTGGCTGCAGTGTCACTCACAGCTGAGGAAGGGGAACCTGACCGTCACTTTGGGGGCAGGTCATGTGCCCTGGTCACTCAGTCTGTGCTTGTTGGTTACCTGAGGGCATATGAGCCGTTGTGAAGGACACCAGAGGGATCAGAGGTGGACGTGTTTATCTCCCGTCTCACACCCACTCCACTCTCTTTTCTTTTTGTTATTATCCTCAAAGGAAACGGGGAAGCTGTCTGTGTCATATATAGAATACCTAAAGCCTTTGCCCCCCAGAATGAAAAGTAACCCTTCATGTGTCCCCCACGTGTGTTTGTCATCTCTCCATCGTCATGACAATTAACTTAGGAAGAACAGGGGTTTCTTTTGCCCCACAACCCCAGAGCTTTCCATCTGTGCAGGTTGTCCCATTCCTTTTGATAAAGCATCTTGGCAGAAGAGGGCAGTGCTGTGCCCGGAAAGTCAAGAGGTCAGGGCCAGGCATTTGTTGACATTCCGCTGTCCCTGTCCTGGTCCCACTCCTTCCCATTGGCTCCATCCCTTCCAAGTCCCACCCCCACCCTCCAGTAGCAGCCCATGGATATTCTTTAACACATGGGCTTTGGGGGCACATTCAGCATCCAAACTGTAGCAACCTGACTGTAACCCCTCCCTCTGTGTTGGGGTTCCTGGGAGTTTTCCAGTGCCCTGATGGTGCCTGCCCACTGTATTTGAGAATCTACCACGGCCTCTCTCATGTAAACACTGTGTCTGATACATCCCTGATTTCTACAGAAACAAGAGTACCACACCCACCTGGCCATCCTCTACCTGGAAGAAGTGCTGCGGCAGAGGGTGGCCACTGGCCACAAGGACGTAGAAGCCACTGAGACTCAGGTCAAACTCCGGAGGCTGCTCCAGAAGTCTGACGCTTACCACATCCACTTGTTGAAAGGTGAGGATGAGATCGTATCCCAGTGAGAGACTTCTTCGGGGCTGAGACAGGAAGCCATTGTCCCAAAGTACAACATTTGGGTCTCATGGGGTGCTTCCTTGAGCCCCTTTTCCTCAGGGCTGACCTGATGAGTTTTAGATTGAGCTTTAAAACTGGATTAAGGATTCAGATCCTTCTAATGATCTCAGGACCTTCATCAGTCAGTATCCCTGCCGGGGTCATGTGAACCCCCAAGGGTTTCCCAGGTCTGCAGTGCTCAAGCCCTTCAGGAAAATGTCATAGTCTGAGCATAGAACCTGTGCAGCTCCCATCTCCTACCTTTGTACCTGTCTGTGCCTTAAATAAGGCAGCCTCTCAGTAATTATTTCCTGCCATTCCACTGTGAGGAGAATGGTGGGGCATGTGTGCCATGGTGTCTAGCTGCTGCTGTACTTGACACAGGCTGTACAGCCAGCCCTTTACCCCCAGGCTGGTAATATCTGCCTGGGGCATCAGGCCTGAGGAGCAGCCCATGGTGACCAAGTGCCAGATAGATACCAGGGCCTATCGTTTAGTATGAACCTTGGCCCTCAGCTGAGCGTTGTCCTGGGAATAGCCCATTGCAGCAGGGAAAGATCTTGTGTTGTCCCCTGTTTCACAGCCCACAGGGGAGCAAAGTGACCTTGGTCCTGAGACTCAGCCCATCAGCCCACTAAGGGAGAGCCTTGATCAGCACTGACACTGCCCCGGGGCTGTGTCACTTTCTGGAAGCTTAACTGCAGGGGGGACAAGGAAAAGTTTTCATTTCTGTTCCAGAAACTCATTGGATAATACAGACAAGATTTTTTAAAAATACCTTGTTCCTTTCATTGAAGCATATTTTTAATTGGAATAAAGGGGTTGAACATGGTCTTTTGAGTAAAGTGGATATTTGGATTTTATCCATGGGTTCTGCATCTGCAGATTCAACCAAATGTGGTTTAAAATATTTCCCCCTAAATATCATAGCCTTATAGTCAGCCACATTTACACTGTATCGTAAGTCCTCCGGAGGTGATCTCAAGCATACAGAACTTGAAAACATTACAGTAGCCTGAGCACAGAGGGACAGAGGGACAGCTGGTCCCCTGTGTGTGTTAGCTGTAAGATTTCCTCCTGGGAAGACAGAGTGGTGCTAGGTTAACTGCAGACCAGGAGCCAGTGATGTTGAGGGGCCTTTTGAGACTAGACTCACCGCTTGGTTTGTTTCCTGAACCTCAGCAGTGGGGTCTTTCTTCAGTTTTTCTATGACTCTGAGTCACCAGGGGAAAATCCAAGGAGCCACCTCCCTCAACCATCTAGGTGGCAGTATTTAGCAATGTCTAGGTAGCCAGATAGCCTGCTCTTGCTGAGGCTGCAGGAACAAGCAGGTGAGCTCAGCCAGCCAGCCCAGTCTGTTACTGAGTGCCAATTTTGTCTGACAGAGAAGATCCAGGGTGCTGGCCTGCCCATGGAAAGCGCCATCCTCCACGGGAAGCTGGGCGAGCACGAGAAGGCCCTGCACATCCTGGTGCATGAGATGGGGGACTTCTCTGCTGCTGAGGACTACTGCCTGTGGGGCTCCGAGGGTCAGGACACAGCCTGCCGTCAGCGCCTCTTCCACACACTGCTTGCCATGTACCTCCGCGCAGGCCCCTCTGCCCATGAGCTGACTGTGGCTGCTGTGGACTTGCTGAACCACCACGCCAGGGAGTTTGATGCCACCCAGGTCCTCCAGCTGCTGCCTGACACCTGGTCGGTGCAGCTTCTCTGCCCGTTCCTCACGGGGGCTATGAGGGACAGCATCCATGCCAGGAGGACCACACAGATGGCTCTTGGCCTGGCCAGATCAGAAAACCTGATTTACATGTATGATAAGGTGAGTGCCCAGCCTTCGTGCCAGCTTGCTTCTCTGTGAGCCCATGTTGCATGAGAGGTGAGTTTTTAACCTACGATAACATGGTCTTGGTTAGTTCTTATTTCCACTCTACACGTATTGATTGCTACCACCAAGATACAGAGCTCTATATGGGCAGAGGCAGAGGCTGCACTGGTGGGCAGCATCAGTGAGACATTTTCCATTCAGACACTGGTAATCATGAGAGTGTGTAGAAGTGGCGTGTGCTCACTCACTATAATCCTAGCACCTGAGAGGATGGGGCAGGAAAATGGTCAGGACCTCAAGGTCATCCTGGGTGCACAGTAAGTTCCAGATCAGTCTAGGCTTCAGTGCAAGACCCTGTCTCAAACAAACAAAACCAGGGAGAATGTGTAGGGAAGGCGAGTAGTGTCCGAATAGTGATGCTCCCCAGACACATTCTTTACGCCTTTTGGAGCACTTTATGGCATCATGTGTGGTGTCTTCTGGTGTCCTCTGTACTGCACAGAGGAGAAAACTGAGCTTTCTGACAGAAGAGCCCAGAAGTATCTCCTAGGCCAGTTCAGAAACTCACATTCTCTTCTCCAAGATGAATTCTATTTCTGGAAACCCCACGTGGCTGGCTGAAGAGCAGGAATCATGTTCTTTTCCCACACAGAGGTCTTCCTTAAGAAGCTGTGGCCTGGGAGATTCAGTCTCCCCTCTTGTCTTTCTGATTCCTTCTTGACTCCCAGCACATGTCCTGGCCATGTAGCATGCTGTCTTACCTCCTATCCTAGGCACATGCTGACCCCACCACCTGCAGTATGTGACCTCTTTCTCTGTGAATACCCAGTCAGCATTGGACTTGCCTGTTTTTCTCCTCCTCAAAGCCTTAAGCTTTAAGTCTTTTGCCTACCCACATCCCTTGTGTGTGCGTTGACAACTTCCTCTCTTACTTTTAGATTTTGAGGGCAGGGACCTTTATCTGTGTTTTCCTAGTACCAACCCTGGCAGGCTGCAGGACTGCACGTTGAGGGTACTAGTTGGTGCAGGAGAATTCCCTGAGTTGCTGCTTACCCCTGTCAGTGGACTTACTTGCCCAGACTGATGGAAAGCTTGTATAAAGAAACCTTAACTTACGCAACTCAAGTCTTCATGATCAGACTAGGGCCAATAGTGACAGGTGCTGTTTCTTACTGACTTCTCAAAACTGAAATTGTGATGTGGGAATGTGCCACTAATTAACTGAGTGACTGTGACCAAGTCCCTAATTTGAGTCCTGCTTTTTATTTGCAAATGAGGGTCTTGCTTGGTCCCACTCAGCTCTGATAGCCATGACTTTATGACAGTCCGGGGTTAAGACAGTCAATGCCTTGACATTGCTGTAGAATTTTCCAGACACACAGTGGTTACTTTAAGAAAACTAACTCCAGGGACTGGAGAGGTAGATGACTCAGAGATTAAGGATGTTTACTGCTCTTGCAGAGGACCAGGGTTCAGTTCTCAGCACCCACATGGTAGTTCACAACTCTAGTTCCAGTGGTCTGATGATCTTTTCTGGCTTCTGCAGACATGTGATGCATGTAAACTCATGCAGCCACACACATATACATATAAAAATGAATAAATAAATCTTTAAAAATAAAAGGAAAGCAACTCTGCCACCTTCTCTGTGTGCTCATTAAGAATGGTTCTGTGCTGGCGGTGGTGGCGCATGCCTTTAATCCCGGCACTTGGGAGGCAGAGGCAGGCGGATCTCTGTGAGTTCAGGGTCAGCCTGTGCTATCGAGTGAGTTCCAGGACAGGCTCCAAAAGCTACACAGAGAAACCCTGTTTCAAAAACCAAACAAACAAACAAAAGAATGGTCATTCCATTCCTCATGTCCTGTGTCAAGAAGTTGATGGGGCGCAGTCCTGTCGACGGTCATAGTCCACAGTGGGATGCGCGTCTACCCTGACTCAGCAGCCTCCTCACTATTGCTTTCTGTTTGCAGATGAAGCTGAAGGGAAGCGCAGTCCGGCTCTCGGAGAAAAAGCTGTGCCAGCTCTGCCAGAACCCTTTCGGTGAGCCTGTGTTTGTCAGGTACCCGAACGGAGGGCTTGTGCACACCCACTGTGCTGCCAGCAGACACACGACCCCCAGCACACCCAGCCCTGGTACTCGGACTTGAAAAGCATGGTTCCAGGCTGCAAAGGGGATTCTGAGCTCTTTTCCAAACCTGCTTTGTGCCAGCCAGAACAAAGGGAAGGCACCCAGGTGCCAGGGAAACGCCATCCCTGTGAAACGAGGGCTCCTCACCACTGATTGTTCTTTGTGTGAATGTAAATGGAAAAGGCCTGAAACCCTGAGAATCGTGACAGGCCAGAGACTACCCGTCCAGGAGGTTACAGTCATCCAAAGCACAAGCCAACTTTGAAGAGCAGGCAGTGTAGCCTGGGTGATCTGGACACAGGTGGGGTCTGGAGATGAGGTCCACCTAGCTCAGGCGAGTGTCCAGGGTGCAGAGTCCTGAGGTGGGCACCTCGCCTTACGAGGAGGTGTGCTCTTCACGTAGGCTCCGCATCTGCCCCTAAGGTGGACATAGTTTCTGTTCTTCCCATCCAGTTGTCAACCTCAGAAACCCTCTGTCTTGTTCTCTTAACCACTCACTTGGTGTGAAGTCCCATGCTTCTGACTGCCTGGCACACAGAGATCTCTGTAGAAACAGATAAAGCTGGAAGCAGGCGGGGTGGTGAAATGATTCAGTGGGGAAAGGCACTTGCACCAAGCCTGACGACCTGAATTCAGTCCCCCTCAAGTGGAAGCAGAGAACCAACACACACACACACACACACACACACACACACACACACACACAAATACACAAATGTAAGGGGGAAAAAAGAGACCTAAGTGGGAAGCTGCTTTGCCTGTCCTCAAGACTGCAACAGAAAGGGGGCCCAGGTTGTGATGGCCCAGGGACAGGTTCGTTTTCATGCACTTGACTGGAAACACCTTGATGGGCATACACGACTACATGTTTTCATTTGAATTCATACTATCTGTAGTTTTCTCTCATTTGGAATTTCCTCAGTCATAGTCATTACAGATATCTCTTTCCTCATTAAAATGTACCTCCTACTGAATACTTGGGAAATGCAAAGGGAAATGTGACGAATAAAACCGATGAGCCTTCCAGGAGAGGCTGGCATTGGCCTCCGCCCTGTAGCCGGCAGCCAGCAGCGCTGCTCACCCGTTCTTCCCGCGGGTGTTTCTGCAGGACCGTGGGCGGCAGTCTGGCCAGGCCGCCTGATCTGCCAGCACTTTCTATGCTTGCCCTGAGCTTTCCTGAACCCTCAAAGGAAAGGTCTCATCCGTGACCAACTAGACTTGGTGTGTCTGTGTCGTGTCACAGACAAGCTGCAGCTCTTGCCTCTTCACTGCCCTCTTCCATGTCACCCAGCCATCCCCAGGACAGACAGCACACCCTCTACGATGATACCTGACAGGAAGCATCTCCTGGGCTGACAGGATGGCCCCAGAGCACACACCCCGCCCCTGCCCCCTGCCAGACCTTCCCTCACTGTCCACTCTTTACAGAATGATTCCTGTACTTAGAATGATCAGTGTATTTCTTTTCCTTTTGGGATCCTGAGTAAGCCAGGAAGTAAAAGCATCTGTCACTATTCAAGGGACTGACACCCTTTTCCCTGTGTGTGTGGAGTGTCTAAGAATAAATGAAGTCTCCTTGCAGCACCACTGTGTCCCAAGGATGGACTGAGAACACTCTTCTCACTGTGTGTCATCACAGTCTATGGATTGGCTATTAATCCTCAAAGAACAAGTTGCCCCGTGAGTAAAGTCAAACCTGAAAGCGCTATTCTCCCTGCACAAGATGGGTGTGGTCTCAGGAAGGGCTTATGACTGCTCACTCCCAACCTGGGGACACTAGTCTCTTCTCTGAGTATTGGTTGACAAAGTTGAACAGTCCAACCCCCACCGAATCCTTTAAAGCAAACAGTTCTGCAAGGCAGAGAATCACCTCCCGTGTTAGGAATCCTATTCCCTCACCTTCCCCACACTCTCCCAAGGGCCGTTTCTCAAATCCCGTTTTAAAGATGAACACATGGTCCTCTCACAGCCTGTGACTGTCCCTCCAATGAGTGGTGCAATGCCAAGCGGAACTCGGGCCTTCTCCCTCCCTCTAGGCCCCGGCAGCCATCCTAGTCAGAGCAGCATGGGCTGAGATGGGTTCACACTCGTATTTCATTTGGGGAACTGTTTATCTGCGGTTGCGTACCAGGTGTTAGTGTAGGCCTGCCACCTAGGCTGTGGGCACCGGGTGTGAACACAGAGCAGAGAGAGGCTTTGTGAGCCGTGCTTGACACCCCTGGAGCACAGAGAAGTGGGTGCTGGGTCACACTGTCCCACGGCACCTGTCGCGCAGCGGGGGCAGCCCCTTGCTTCCTGCTTGCTTTCCCACGGGAACCTCTGTCCTCACAGCTTCCTTCGCCTCTCAGTGGGTCCCAAATCCACAAGATGTACAAATGTAAACTTGTTGATTTTATTAAAATTCTTCTAATTCTTTTTGTTTTGTCATTTTTTTTAAAATAAAAATTACCTTGCTGAAGTGCTGGTATATTGTAAGGAGTATGCTTATGCTGCTCCATTGTAAGGAGTTCTAGAATCCAGCTTCACTCTGACTTTTCCTTGTGCCCAGGGAAGCACCTGCAGCAGCTAGCTGCAACTGCCCCTTAGGCTCTGCTGTGGCTTGGCTGGATTTTAACCACTCCACCTCGGTATTTGTCTCCTGCAGATTCTTAGGGCACTCCTGTACACCCACTGAGTTCAGGTGAACAGTTATGCACCAAGATTTTGGATGACTTGGTTCATTCTCTTTGGAGCCGAATGCTCTTAAGCCCTATGCTCCTGCGTTCCTAACCCTGAACACATTCCAGGAATATAAGCAAACCTTGCCTTTGATACTCTACTTTCATGGGGTAAAGAGATGCCCTGTTGGGTAAGAATGCTTGCTTCAAGCATGGAACCTGATCTGTGATCCCAGAACCCATGTTGAAAGCAAGAGTAGTGGGCCTGTAAGGCCAGAGGTATGGAAAGGCAGAGACAGTATTGCTCCAGGTTCAGTGAGAGACCACCCCCCACCCCCCCATCCCCCCGCTGTCTTCATGGGAATAAAGAATGGTACAGCAGGATACCTGAGATGATCCTCTTGCCTCCACGCACCCCTTCCCTGAAATGGTACACTGGCATGTACCAAATTTTTTTTCAAGTCAACTCCCCTCCCCAAAGTGGTCACAACAGGCCATTGAGCAATCCTGTTGAATGGCAGTATTCTCTCATGGGCTTGCATCCCGGGTACTGCTCCATCTCTGAGCAAAGGGGAGGAGGGATTTGTTACTACAATCAACTTTCTTGATTCTATCACATGCTAGGTAAATCTCATCAGTAGAGTGAGGCAAGATGCCATGCCTCAGATTTCCAAGAGGAAACTGAGATATTGTTCTGGTGATTTTAGCTTGGTACCAGGCCAACAAGATGACCTCCTGCCTGCAAATTCCCCTGTTACTCAAACTGCTATGGGTGCTGCCTTCAGAGAAGTGAGGTCACAGCTGGGATAGTCTTTCTTCTTTTATATGCTGGTATCCTTGTGTCTATTATTAGCATGTTAAATAGAAAGAAAGCAAAGGATGGTGGAGGCTAAACTGGAGGCTGGCCTGGGAAGAAGAGACTGCATTCACAGCACATTGTAGAACTACTACAAAGATAAGCAACAAGGCCGAGTGGCAGAGAAAAAGTAAATTGTCCTAAATGTGTCTTCTGGAGGCAAAGACTGGTGTCTGCCTCAGTTAAATGGGCTGTGACTTGTGTTAGGTGTAATTAGATATTAACTAATACCCCATTTGCTCCTAGCGGATCTGTCAACCTTAGCGTTCAAAATGAAAACCTACAAGAATCTAGACCATATGGACCAGAGACCTTTTCACCTTCTCAGAAAAGCTCAGTGGCTGGAGCACCATCTAAAAGCTTGTTAACATGCTGTTTGGAGAAAAGCGCTGAATTAATGACGCCTGCTTTTCTTTAGCTCGCAACCAGGGAAGGGAAACAAATAGCTATAATTCAGTCTGCAGCCTAGAGTTGTAAATTAGCTAAATGAGATCACGTGGCAAGAAAGAATTAGAGAGCAACACACAGGGACTGGAGTAAGTGAGACTTCACCAAAAAGATGCTAGATACCAGGAGACCTGGGTGCAGCTGCCTCTGATACTCCACCTGGACACAGTCATGTCCCTTAGACCTTGGGGTCTCATCCATGATCAGGGATAGAGCTGGGTAGCATCTGGGGTCTCTTCAGGTATTAACTTTCTGAGCAAGGGAATCGGGGGAAAAGTAATGGGCCATGATTCAGCCTTCAGCACTCAATGCTGCCCTTCAGGGCTTGAAGAGCCCCAGCAACACCCAGCACAGAAACTCCTGCTCGGCAGCATGGCTGTGGATGTGACTGTCTCAATGGGATGTCAGCACTCCTACACCTCACTACATGGTCACTGTCCAGGAAAGTGACCCCACAGCTGTCCACATGGGTTCTAGCTATCTGGTTCTCAGTTGCTCCTGTCCTCCAGTCTGTGCTAAGAAGGAGTCTGATTTGTCTCTGGCATCTTCGAGTCCTTCAACACTATGGTCACCTTTCTCTACAGAACATTTTCCATTTCTCTTACTTGAGACAGTAAGTTTTCCCTCCAGATTCCGTTCCTGTTCTTCTAAGCTCAGCAGACAAATCCCAGCTTACTCTCAGGAATATGAGCTAAAGTGACCTGGTTTTCATCATTGCCTCCAACTGAGCTGACTTGCCCTGCCTCCCCCTCAAGGGGTCCACACAAACATTTGTGGTTTACCCGGGTCAGCAGATGCACATGATAGAATTAGGGGAGCCAGGCTGCCTACTGTCCTTCACTTCCTCCCCTGTAGTCAGGATGTTACAGGAAAACCCCCCAAATCCATTCTAAATTATTTCGATACATTGCTGAGTTACAGACCACCATTGACTGAAGCTTATAAATATGTATAACCAGATGCAAACTTTTGCTTTCTTGGGAATTAGAGGACAAGGAAGCGTTTCCTTGGTTATTTGCATAATAATGCACACCTCTGAAAACAGTTTCTTTGACTTCAAATAATTTACCAGAGTATATTTATTTTATATGAATAAACCACGTCAAGAAATCAGTGTTATGCCCCAAAGAAAAGCAATAACTGTTACTATGTTTCCAATGTGACTACATTTAAAGAGTGCTCCTCTTTTAAACCGTAAACATACACCCCATAAAAATGATCATTGCAAACACTAATATTTTTTCATCTATTTTGTGTGTGGCGGGGGCAGGGGGGCAGGGGAGCAAGGCAGGGTTTGCAACCACACACATCTAGAAATCAGAGGACAACTCAAGGGGGTCAATTCTCCTTCGTCAGATAGGTCCTGGGGACTGGTTTGTGTAGCTGAGTTTTCCTGTGTCCTGTCCAGTCTGCAGCCACTCAGACCCAAGTAAACACACAGAGGCTTATATTAATTAAAACTGCTCGGCCATTAGCTCAGGCCTACCACTGACTAGCTCTTACACTTTAAACTCAGCTTATTTCTGTTCATCTATATGTTGCCACATGTTCCATGGCTTTACCTGTGTGCCATGACATGCCGCTCCCTGGATGGCAGGCTGGTGTCTCCTGACTCAGCCTTCCTCTTCCCAGAATTCGCCTTGTCTGCTTATCCCTCCTATACTTCCTGCCTGGCTACTGGCCAGTCAGCATTTTATTAAATCAGTGTAAAAAAGCATTATCCCACAGCTGGACTCAGATCATTAGGTTTGGCAGGAATCGGTTTTCAACCCCTGAGCCATTATACCAACCCTGCAACCGCTTTCCCTTTTCATGTTTTATCTTTTTTATTTTATGTGTATGATTATTTTGCCTGCTTGTGTGTCTGAGCACCACATTCATGCAGTGCCCACAGAGGCCAGAAGAAGCCACTGGGACCCCTGGGACTGGAGTTACAATGGTTATGAGCTGCCATGTGGTGCTGAAAATTGAACCTGGGTCCTCTGAAGGAGAGCCTGTATGCTTAACTACTGAAATGTCTCTCCAGCCCCTGCAGCCACTTTTTTAAAAGATTTTTTTTAAAGATTTTTTTTTATTTTTATTTTTTGTGTAGAGATGTTTGCTTGCAGGCATGTCTGTGCACCACATGTGTGCGGTACCCAAGAAGTCCAGAATGGGATGCCAAATCTCCTTGGAACCAGAGGTATACACAGTTGTAAGAGCTGTTGAACCCTGGTCCTCTAGAAGAGCAGGGGATGCTGTTTACATCTGAGCCATCTCTCCAGCCTCTGCAGCCACTTTTAAGTGTACCATCCAGTGGCACGAGTATAGTCACATTGTAATACAACCATTATCATCATCCATCCCCACTTTTTCATGATCCCTGAGATTCCTTATTCATGGGGTATAATAGCTTTCCATCTCCCCTTCCCCAGCCCTAGCGACCACACTCTTCTTCCTGTTCCTGTGATTCTGACAATGCCAGAGTAGCTCAAAGAAGTCAAACCATGCAGTTCTCTTCCATGACTGCGTTCACCTGCCTATTGTAGTGTGCATGTATCACAACTGCATTTTAAAAGGCAAATCTACAGTCCATTTCATGGCTTTAAATAGTGTGCTACCAACAATGTGTGTGTGTGTGTGTACACATGCAGTCAGTTTGTATGTATATATATTTAATACTAGAATTCATTAGATTAGAAATCATTAGATTGTATTAAACTAGGATTTCTATTTCCTATATCCAGAACATGCAAAAGATAACTTTCTACCAACTCATCTAAATGTCTTCCACCTGTTGTCTGGGACAAGTGACTAAAACACACCAGTAAGCAAAGCTAGTGTGTGGTCTGGTGTAGGCCCTTAAGAATGGGTTTAAACTCAGCACAAGATGTTTGTCAACAAGGACTCCCCATCACCCACCTATGATGTGACACTTATCTACAAAGGTGCAAAGCCTATTCTGAAACAAGAGCCAGACTAACATCTATAGGGAAGGAGAGCAGGGACAGGTGCCTACAGGTCTCGGTATATGACAAAACAGGCAGAGGTATGTTTCACTGTAGATCTCCTAATGAATGATATGCTTCCCTTACTTTTCTCCAACCTCTAGTCTTGTGTGGAGGGAAGATGCCCCATTCTCAGATCCTTGGTTATGTCCCTCCTTGGAGAATTGCTGAAGTTATCATGACCCCCATTTTTACCTTTGAGTGGGTCACCACTACTCCATGATGTTGATTGATGTCTATGGGTGCTGACAGCTTGATGAACTGGCCAAGATGGGGGAGAGGGGAGAGGGGAGAGGCATTTCTCTGCCTCATTTGTTGGGGGAGCAAGGTGACCTTTTGAAGAGTATAAATGGTGGGGATGGGATGGGAAGGGCTGGTGTTCCATTTCTCCATGGCTATGAGCTGAGGAACAGTATCTGAGGAAGTTAAAGCCAGCCTGTTTCCTTGTTCTGCCGCCATGGGGAGCCT